CAGTCCAGTCTCAGCTTTGGAACCTGGTTAACCAAGTAAACAAAGTCCCTATAATATTATAGCCAGTGTGGTCAACCAGACATGACCAGGTTGTACCACCAGCTCAAATATTATATAACTGTAAAAATGACTTACTAACTACATTTTTAGTGTTGCTTGTCCATGCAAAACTCTCCACCACAAATACTAAGGTGTTGGTGTCGCCAAGGGATTGTTATTTGGTTGGTAGTGTGTTGTGGGTTGTTGCTATGTGTATGTGGTGCGGGGTGAGTGATTATGAATTCAGCCTCTGTTAACGGTATAGGCCCATCTATCATGTTAACATTTGCAAAATGGCCTGAAAAGGTTAAAGTAAGCATGAAATGAAAATCCTCCTTATGCTTACTAAATGCACCCTAATCATCTTATTGTAAACAATTCATCCATTCATTTGTTTATTTATTTTAACCCTCATGATCTTTAATCGAAATGTCACAACTTGATCTTCCAGTATCTCTAGATCTCGCTTCCTTTTTTCTAAATAAAAAAAAAGAAAACATGTTTCCATATGAACCACACAAATGCATACAAAATCGCCACCATGTTAGAAATCACAACTATAAGTATTTGAGAGGGCTAAGAGCCAATATATAGTGCAATTTCCCAATGAAGAAATTGGGCTAAGAAGCACGGATCAAGTTAGACTGGCCATGCCAGTTGTGGTTAAATTGCAAATCTGTTACTAAATTGAAAATGTTGTGGCTTTATCTTACACTTGTAACTAGTATTATTGTGTTCTTGTTGGTACTTTAAACTTTTGTGCTCAGCTGTTTCCTTAGTTACCCAGCAACTCTCATAAACAGAATGCATACACATCCTCACAAGTTGGTAAGTACTTTCAAATAACATTGCAACTACTCTGTAGACCATGTAACCCACAGAACAGAATGAAACTGTTTGGGGTTTCCAATATCAGCACTAAACATGATCACAAATATCAATCAAAAAGGTATTAGTAACCTAGTTGTCTCAGTAATTACACAATTACAGTAGGTTCATGCTTCAATACAGGGCAGATGTTGATCAGATTCTTGACAAATCAGAATGAAAAATTAAAGTCCCAGTGATAACATGAACATTTTTGTACAACAGGTAAAGAAAAGAGTTGAATATTTCAGAGGATTTGTTCAGCAAGTTCTTATCTGAACAATTAACAGTGCAGCTGATAAACAGGACATTCATGCCACAGTACAGTGTGCTGCTGAGAGCTGAAAAACAGGACGGTCATGCTGCGCTGCATAATGTGATTCACATTTGTTTTCTAAAAGCTCCTTTTAGACTGAAACTTTACCCATGCTCCTTAACAAAGGAGTTGTTTAGGACAAAAACAAATTTTTAGTCTTGGTCAGGATACAAAATGTCAAGCATCTATTTAAGTTTACAAACACAATCAGGTCTGAGTATCATGAAATAATTTAACAGAAAGGACATACTGTGAACTAAAATGTTCTGATTTGTATGATTTTGAGAAAATTATTTTGGAGTTGTATTTCCCAGGATACGTTGCCCTATTAGGGAATAAAAAACATCTCAAGTCATCAATAATTCTATGATTTATTTGATGCAAACAAATATGTAATATTCAAAATATGCTGCATGTATGACATGTCTAAGTGTCCTAAAATTAAGGCATAGACATTTCTTGTATTTTTACATTGCTGAACTGTCTCGTCTTCATCCTCAGGGGTGGGCAATTCCACCCCTTGAGGCCCACTGTCCTGCAGGGACAGGCTTATCTCTAGATCTCCTCCATCTCTAATCAATCATTTAATGTGATTTATGTATCATGTAATTTTTTTTATGTAATCCTGAAGACTTTGCAGATTTTTCAGGTGTGTTTGATCAGGGTTGGAGATAAACACTGCAGGACGGTGGCCCTCCAGGAGCAGGGTTGGAAAAAATCGAGTTAAAAATGCAAAGATGTAGTCAACTAAATGTATTAATATCAGTTTTACATGCAAATATTAACATTTGCACAATTTTTTAAACCTCAAAATAAATAGAAAGGAGACTGGGTACAGGGGGCCAAGAGGGCCTATGAGGATCATCCCTAAGGGCCCCTGCCCTGGTATGCAATTTCTACTGAGGGGGGATCTCCTCCCCTTGATGCATTTCACAATCCCCCTCTACCCCATCCCTCAGAGAGATTTTTAACAAGGGGGTCCCCCTTCTCTAGACAGTGATTCCTACAGTACATCCCCTCACCCATATGTATCCTGTGGTGCATGTTGCCTGTTTAAGGGTTAAGGTGTAATTTATTACTGTGATGGAGCTAAATGTTTAGCAGCCATTACCGCAGTCTTCAGTGTCACATCTTTCACAAATCATTCTAATATGCTGATTTGATGCTCAAGAAACATTTTCTATTATTATCATTGAGACCATTATATTTTTGTATTGACAGTGATATTAGTGATATTCAGAGTTTTATATTTATATTTTAATATTTATATGAAGATTGAAAGAACAGCATTTATCTGAAATAGAACTCTTTTGTAACACTTTGTCTTCACTGTCAATTTTGATCAATTTAATCCATCTGTGCAGAATAAAAGCATTTCATTCTTTCAAAAAACTTTACCGACACCTAACTTTTGAACATCAGTGTTAAAAAAACTAAACCAAAACAAACGGTACGGACACCAAGACTTTATGTGAGAAGATTTTTTATTGTTTTCCAGCGGTGACTACTGGATATATACACAAAACAGACAGGGCCAACAAAATCTGTAACAGCACTGAGGACAAAAGTTGGGATAAAAGATGACTAAGAACCATCTACATAATCTGAAATGTGTATGTTTTATACTTCACTGAATTAAAGAACAATTAAACCACAATAAAAAAAAAAGAAAACATCAATTGAGAGGGATTGAAAAAAAAATCCTAAACCCTTTTTCCCCCAATCTTACCCTCTTTTCTGATAAATATCCCAAGTCCCTAACTCCAGTTACAAAAATGCGCTTTAAAATGTAAAAAAATTTCACTCTATGCTTTGATGTACTGACTGAATAGACATGCATTCAACAAAATCTGAACTAAGCGGCATCACATCTATGTCTGTCCTGTGATGTGGCATAGTTCTGATAGAGTTGGGAACTAGCATCAGAAAAAATTCATTACACTCCTTATTTTCCCGCCTGCTGGGCTTGACGCCTCAGCAGCACGTAGATCTTTTCTTTGATCCAGTCTTTGTTGTAGGGCTGGTAGGTTTGTGTGTCTGCCCGGTACCTGTTTAAATGACCAAAGAATGAAAAAATTACTACATTGCTCAAAATGTGTACCCTTGTACATGATTGATGAGATCTTGTGTTAGTTTACTTACACAAGACAGCTGAGGTCAGCGAGATCATCAACAAAGTCGAATAACTGGCTTATGTCATATGTGATGGAGGGACTGTTGGGGTTCATCCTCTTCAGATGCTCTTCATACATCTTACACACTCCTTTTATTAGAGAGAAAATAAAGAATTAAAAATTCCAAATTAAAGCATTAGAATTGTTCATAATATTCATTTCTAGCCCTTTAAAATCAAAATAAATATTCTACCTTCCATGCATTCGTTGACAGACTCATAGTCTGCATATGTTCTGCCTTCTGGTCTCTTGGTGGGCTGCACCAGCAGAATTGTGTGAGACTGAAAATCAGAAGGAAAAAAGTAAGTGTAAATACATACTACATACATTTTGACTGGTGTACACATTTTGGAGGAAAAAAAGATGTAAAAGCTGGATTAAAAACACTGTACATATAAATACATACACCATATATGACCCAATCATGTAGAGCCCCTACTGCCAGTAAAAGAGCTTTGACTCCTAACAGTGAGATTAATAGAGCATACTTATTTTCAAATGGATGTCATCTTAATCTGACATTCAATCCAACCGTCCCTGTTTGGCATATGAACTAAGTAAACTTAAAGATAACTCGAACGTTCAAACGGAATCTCTGACATAAGACCCTGAAAACAGCAACTGTTGGGACTCCAACCCTCCCCCAAAACAAAACCGTCTAGATGCTTCTTACAAAGGCAGTTACTACGACGGGTGAATTTAAATATAAGTTTGTTTAAGTCTCACTTTATATTAAGTGCTTAACGTTGTAGAAAGTAATCTAGAAATATTCCAGCAGACTTCACAACTCGTTCATTTCGTGAATACTCGACGTTATCTTGCTACACTGCTGCTAGCTGCGCGCGATCACTCACTTGAATATTTCTTGAACGTGCCAGTGCAGCCGAAGAAACACGACTTTCTGACAAGGCAAATGTATATAATATACACCAGAATACAAAATACAGCAGTGAAATACTTACCATATCTGGTCCTGGTATCTAAAATGTCGCGATGAAAGCTGTGGTACCGCTGACGGCTAATCACTGAGAGCAGCTACAGAAAGAGCATAAATGTGCAACGAGCATCCACTTCCGGTAGTGGCGATGACGCGTTGGATTTTCAGAATTAAAGTCTTGTGACAAAATTGCAGTGTGTTCAGTTTTAAAGTGTATTTATTTTATTTTGACTGAAAATGTTACGGCACTGGTAACACTGTGAGGGTTTGGAATTGTATTGTAACTTTCAGCAAAATAATCATGGTTAAATTCATATTTTGTTCCCTCAAAAGCTGTATTTTACGTTTGTTTTTTTGCAACAATATCATTGAATTGTGCTAGATGGATTTATATATCCAATGTACTATGCAGACTTTTTTTGCAGCAGATGTTTTTGCTTTTTTATTTTTTAATATCATACTTTGTAATTTTGTATTTTTTTTATGGTGAGGTTGTAACATTTTCAGGGACTAAAGATGAAAAATAGCCTTTAGGCTAACTCTGGCATATTTATATTAATAATAAAAAAAACTGCTTCCAAGACTGTCTCACATTTTGTTCAAGAGATTTATTCAGTTAAAATTTTTAAGTGAAATCATCAAGAGTCAGTGTGCAGTGTGGTTTGTGTTAACACTTTAATGGCATAGCAAGACTATACAATTGAAGTACAAAGTTCATAGACTTCAAAAAAAGATATAGAAACAAAATTAAGAAAGGAAAGCTTATTTTAGCTTAATTCAGCAACAGCAATTTTATTTTCATGAAATTGAT